TCTGCTGTTTGCACTTCCTTTCTTCAGAAGATTACATTTGGTTATTGCTGCATGCATAATCCTTCAAAAATGTACCCTCCATATAATGCACAAAAATGTTTTTTAATATATTGTAAGGATTTTTTTTTCTCCAAATACTTTTCTCTTATTCTTGTGCATTTAGATTACTGCAAAAGAAAAACAGTAGTTAGTAATTTCTTTCTGATTGTTGAATAGTTGTATTAATACTCAAAATGTTACAAAGAAAGATCTCAGTTCGCACTCAGTTTGACCTGTGAAAATTTTCCAGGGTGTTTTTGTCAAGTGTCTGTGGAATATTTCCCTGTAAACCCATGAGACTCACACAGTGATGGTGTAGTATGTGATTAATATATCTAATTTGTTTTAAATACTAGGTCAGATAAATCAGTACTTCAGTGTCTGATTGTTTATGAACAATCTTCTTCCTGCTTTTTGGGTAAATGATCTTAACAGTATCTATAAGCAGAGATTTTTGAGACATTTCTTCTGAACCAAAACTTTTTCATTGTTTCACACTTTTGCAGCTCTGGATAGGCATGTGGGCAGAAAGGCTGAATGAAGGCAGGTGCTGCTGTAGTATTTCTAGATTCCCTGAGTAGGAATAAGAAATACTGACAATATAAAAGAAAACTACTTTGAAAAAAATTCCAGAACATTTTTTTGGTTGTTCACACCAGCATCTGAATTTTTTGAGTACTTTCTGGACCAAACACTTTCTCAGGATCTTTTTTTTAAGAGTTACGCAGATCACCATTGTCATGTACTTGCATGTCTTATGTTTATCCCTAGTCTTTGGTCTGTTCTTTTGGCTTTTAGGTTATGAATTTTGCAATGAATCTGTCGTTGCCTGTGTTCGTACGTGGTATAAATATTCAAGAACAATAATCATCACAGACAAATTAAAGGTGAAATGGTTGTGGCTGTTTAATATGGCAGTGGCTGTCGTATTAAAACTTACAGGCCTCCAGAAGGCCTGATTCTTGTTACTAGGGTTGCTCCAATTTTTCTAGAGACAAGCTTTCTAAAGCCAGAGAGAAACCCTGATCATTTGCCGACTGCACCTGGGTATTCTGCTGTCGCCTGCACACCCCCCGCCCAGGCACTCACGCTCTCCGTAGCTAGCAGAGCTGTAAGGCTGGCAGTTCAGTTTTGTGGTTGTCTGGCACTGTTAGGGGACACATTTGAATAAAAAGAGCAATTACAAAATCCTGAATTATACATAGTGAAAATTTTACTTGATTAGTTTTTTCTTACATTTCCTTTTCAAGAAAGAATCAGACATATTTGTAGGACAGATTAGGAACGTAATGACAATTGGGGTTTCTAGACATTACTGTGTAAAAATACTGACTGTATACAGTGTCCATCAGTATGACTGTGAACCCCCATAGGTTAGCTTGTCTATTCTGGCGACAAGATAATGGAGGGCTTTCTGGCCCCCCTGTTCCTCACCC